CCTCCTCCCTCAGACCCAGGAGTCCAGGCCCCCAGCCCCTCCTCCCTCAGACCCAGGAGCCCAGGCCCCCAGCCTCCTCCCTCAGACCCAGCAGTGGAGCTCTCCCACTACTGTGTCCCCCTCATCGACCCTCCTCAACTTGGAGGGAGTTGGGTCCCCACTTGACCCTGGAGGTTAGGGACCGGGAGGCGCAGGGACCTCGGGCGGGGATGCTGACCTCCCGCCTCCCTCGCCGGCCCGCAGGCTCTGGCTCCATGGACTACACCAAGGGCAACGTGGTGCGCCTGAGCAGACTTCGCGGAGGGGCAAAGAGGCAGCAGGACGGCCGGGCCTCCGGGCTGAGCCCAGCTGAGCCCCGCTTCCCCCCATCACAGTAATAACAACCTCTGTCCCGCGCACGCCTCTTCCAATGGGTCATTCCTCCAGGCCGCAACGGTTCCCAACCTGTGGGTCTCGACCCCTGAAAATACATCCTGCATATCAGATATTTACATGACAATTCATAACAGTAGCAAAATTACAGTGATGAAGTAGCCACGGAAGTAATTTTATGGTTGGGGGTCACCACAACATGAGGAACTGTATTAAGGGGTGGCGGCATGAGCAAGGTTGAGAACCACCGCTCCAGGGCCTCCCAGATCTGGGAGAGCGCGATCGTCGCCAGAAGGGCTGGGTTCCAATCCCAGCGCTGCTGCTCACCCACCGTGTGCCTGGGGGAAAGGGACCTTTTGTGCCTCGCCTGCCGTGGCTGTGAAACGGACGCTTTGTTGCTACTCACCGCTTAGGACCTGTGCAGGGTTAGGTGGGCATGGCGCCGGAAGCATTTTAAACAGCGACTGACCCGTAGTAAAAGCTCAGTAAGTGTTAGCTCCTGTGTAACAGAGTTCTAGCAAAGCCTCGTGGTTTTGCCCTGGCCCGTGTGGCTCAGTTGGTTGAGCAACAAGAGGTCTCGGTTGGATTCCTGGTCAGGGCACATGCCCGGGTTTTGGGGTGCGATCCTCAGTAGGGGGTGTGCAGGAGGCAGCCGGATCAATGATCCTCTCTCATCAGTTTCTCTCTCCTCCACTCTTCCTCTCTCTAAAAAAATAAAATAAAAAAATAGAACATTTTAAATAAAAAGTCTCAGGATCTGAAGGAAGTTCGAGTCTTTGTCCCAATGCTCCAGCTCACCTCTTAAGCAACTCAGTGATGTCATTCCCGTCGTGGCGTCACACCTGGTTCCCAAGCAAACTCCTTAAATGCCTCCTCACACCTTCCCCGAAGGTAAACCCAGATGGACCTAGTAGCCCTGGCCAGTTGCTCAGTGGTTAGAGCATCGGCCTGCGGATCAAAGGGTCGAGGGTTCATTCTCGGTCAAGGGCACATACCTCAGTTGCAGGTCTGATCCCTGGCCCTGCTGCAGTGCCTGCAGGAGTCAACCAATCAATATCTCTCTTTCACATTGATGTTTCTTTCTCTCCGCCCCCCCCTCCTCCTTGCCTTATACTCTCTCTCTCTCTCTCTCAAAAAAAAAAATCGCAGCTTCATTTGCTTGAACCTTCATTTTTGTTAAGGGGGTTCCATTGCCATGGCAACAGCAAGTAGCATGTGCGCAATAGAACCTTGAGCCTTAGTATGGACGCAATAAACTTCAGTTGGTCTGCTTGGGGCTGTGCTCTTGGCTGCCCTCACGGTTGCGCTAAGACTAGCACAGCCTGTTCACTCTCCTTGTCTTGCCTCTTGACTTCCGAGGCCGGGCTCCACGCACAGTCTCTTCTGAATCCATTAATTGAAGTTCTGTTTCCATCTGCCAACATCGATGCCTTTCTCATGAACTCCATGGCGCATGCCAAGCAGGCAGGCTCTACCTCGTCTGAAAATCTACTTATTTGGGCTTCGTTTAAAATAATTGGCTATGTAAACATTGGCGTTGGAGAACAGTGTTACAGTGTTTTAGTGCCCTAGAGAGAAACAAAGCAAGCAAATTCTTAACGCAGGTTAAGGGGGATATGGGCCTACGTGAGAGTTTAACTAAGGCTTTTGCAGAAAATCCTTCTTAGATTATTTTTTAAAGTATTATTATTAATAATATATTTCAGAGAGGAAGGGAGAGGGAGAGAGAGAAACATCAATGATGAGAGAGAATCATTGATCAGCTGCCTTCTGCATGCCCCACACTGGGGATCGAGCCTGCAACCCGGGCATGTGCCCTTGACCAGAATCGAACCCAGGACCCTACGTCCATAGGCCAACGCTCTATCCACTGAGCCAAACTGGCTAGGGATAATATTATTTTTTAATTGATTTTTGTTGTTGTTGTTAATCCTCATCAGAGGATATTTTTCCATTGATTTTTAGGAGGAATGGGAGAGAGAGGGAAAGACAGAGGGAAACATCAATGAGAGAGAAACACATCAACTGGTTGCCTCCTGCACGCACCCCACCAGGGCTCGGGCAGGGGAGGAGCCTGCAACCAAGGTATGTGCCTTTGACTGGAATCGAACCCGGGACCCTTTGGTCCATAGGCCGATGCTCTATCCACTGAGCCAAACCGGCCAGGGCCCTTCTTAGACTCTAATGTCCATGAAGCCAGGACCTTACTTGTCAGGCTTCTCTCTGAAAAACACATGCCCAGCTCAGACGTTATTATAACAAAGGGCAGCCTGGCTGGCGCCTCAGCCCTACATTTCTCTCATCTTTCCAGTGGGGACCTGTAGGGAGTTCAGAATTTCAGCGCTGATGTAGGAAAGAGATGTGGCCACTAGGTGGCAGTAAGCGCACAACGTTTAGTCCCTCAGCACAGTCCCACCTGGCCGTCCTCCTCCACTGGGCTTTGTCAATGCTGTTCCCTCTGCCTGGAACACCCTTCCAGCCCCTCTTCACCTAGTTAACGTCCGCCCAACTTTCAAATCTCACGTCACTTCTTCAGCCAAGCCATCGGCGATCTCCCTGACTAGCTCAAACCCTCCAACGACAGGCTTTCAAAACGTTTTCTCTTTCAACCAAAGGACTTGTATGCATGCATATAAGCCAAACCAATGGACATGGACAACAGGGGGATGAGAACAT